TTTTTGATCCTCAATTCGGCCCAAATCGGACTTTCGAAAGCCAACGGGACTGTTTCCGATGAATGGACTGTAGTGACCATTTCACTGGATACGGTCAACCTCAGGAGTAACAACAACTCGTGAATAGCGACACTTTTCTTGTGCACAACAGAGGGTCGCTATTCACAAGGTTGCCTGTGTGTCCATGAATAGATTCCGCCGCCGCCACCCTTGTTTCCAACTCACCTTTTGTCTCTCATCTGTGCTGTTGGCTCCCTGCAGGAGAAGCTGGAGGATGATTTGAAATCTGAACGCCGGAAACTGCAGCGAGATGTGAGTGCTTATCGACTTGTTAACTGGTGTGTGGTTGTGTGCACGTGTGTGGGTGTGTGTGCATGTGTGGGTGGGTGTGCATGTGTATGGTTGTGTGCACGTGTGTGTGTGTGTGTGTGTGTGCATGTGTGGGTGGGTGTGCACGTGTGTGTGTGTGGGTGGGTGTGTGGGTGCATGTGTGGGTATGGTGCTAGTGTGTGTGTGTGTGTGCATCCAGTGCATTTGCAGATTTACGTGCTTCGCTTCCTACAGCCCTGGCGTGCATTGTACTGCTATGTTGTTGTTTTTTTACAAAATACACGACTCACCGGCAGGCACATGGGACTAGCATGGGGTGAGATGGTGCTGGTGGGGCTTGCCATGCTCAACCAATGTGATGTGTGTGTCTCTCTTTCCTTGGGGGCCGAGGGAGGGGGGGGGGGGGGGGGGGGGGGGAGCGGCATGGTTGTGTGCATGTATATGCGTCTGCGTACCGGTGTGTGTATGTGTGTGCATGTGTGTGCGTATGTGTGTACATGTGTACATGTCATGTGTACCGTACTCTACCGGTTATAAGTCGACCTTTTACCTTGATATGACTACAAATCGAAAGCGAAAAGGTTGGTCGACTCACAACAGGGATTCGACTTCTAACCGTGAACCATCGGTATCTGAACGAAAAGTATATTGGCTTTACAGCTAAAATGGATTGATGTTTTCATCTATCAATATTTTTCATAACGAAACTCTCCTCGACCCATCCATAAACGAATTTTTTTTTCGTTTTGTGTAAAATATTGATAATTATGGACGGCCCCGTATTGCATTGCTTTATGTGTTCCCTACAGGTACGACAAGCCCTCAGTCACGCTGAGGAGCTGGAGTTGGAGAACGAGCGACTGCAGAAGCGCATTGAGACACTGCGCAAGCGTCACCAGAAGGAATAGACCAGCAGTGTGTGCGTGTGTGTGTGTGTGTGTGGAGACCCGTTCCAGGATGGCGCTTTACTCTCTATTTACGGTGCGTGTATGTGTACGTGTGTGTGTGTGTGCGCGCGTGTACGTGTGTGTGTGTGTGTGTGTGCATGTCACTGTTGACATCTGCGACCAGGTCCATCTTCTTTTCCTCTTGACTATATTTGGAGATTCTTGAGTTTATCTAATATCCTGCGTACGCGTGCTGTGGTGTGTGGCTGTGTGCACTTGCACATAATACAGCTTGAGCGCAAGTATTATGTACGGCTGATTGTTATGCTATTTAGGCGCTTCTCTTGTTGCTGAGAGGCCCCGGACTAGGGTCTGCAGATGTATGTCTGTATGTACTCTGCTCCTGTTTTCTTGTGTCTTTGTGTGTGTGTGTTACAGCGTACCCGCTTCTTTTTGTTGGTGTGAAGTGTTTGCGTGGCTTGCCCGCTAGCAGACTGCTGCACTATCACGTCTGCGTGGTGTTTTGTCTTTTGCGCTTAGTTTGCCCGTCCGTCGCGTTTGTCGCCACCATCAAGTAGTTTGCCTGTGTGTTTGGCAAGCCACCGATTTGAGCCCTATCCGCCCCTCTTAGTTTCCTCCCCGAATCCTCCAAACAAGCACGTGCACATCTCGTGTGCGTGTGTGTGCGTTTGTTCATGTGCCCACTGCGGGATCGGCTACTGGCAGGTGTGTACATTTTCGTGTCTTCAGATGCGGCCTGCTCCCCCATCGCTGGCTGTATTGTGAGTGGTGAAGAGCTATGGTTCTCCCGTGGCGCTGTTGTCATCAAACATAATGGCACTCTCCAGTTATTCTCTTCCCCCTTCTTCGTTTTTCTTCCTCTCTTTACTTGTTCTGAACGTCATTCTCTCCGCCCCTGTAGCCACATTGTTGTTATACCCTAACAGCCCAGCCCTTATTCCCTTCGCACAGCGCAACTGCTTCTATCACTACCTTTTCTTTCCTTCCAGTATATTCGTTCCTTTCTCTCTTAGTTGTGTGTGTATATATATGCTTTATGATTATAGAACACCATTATTATTGTTATTATTATTATTATTGGTACGTGACGGCAAATATACCAATTGTCATTCGATGCCTGCAATCTGCTATGTGATTGCTACGGCTTCCTTGACGACAACGCACGGTGTCATGTCTTGCTGGGAATGTCGTACGACAGAGTGCGTCACTCGAGTTTGCGCCTTCCATCATTTCGCAGGTCTATGGCTGCGCAACGCACGGCGCGTACTTGAGCGACACGACTGGATTTAATGGAGCAGCTCTGTATGTGTGTGCGCGCTGTGAGAGCCTTGGTGTACTACGGTCACACTTGGCATGTTCTTGTGTGGAGCCTAGAGTACAATCATAAGTTTATAACCCCTGGACACGGGGTGGAGATTATGTACTCTTGGTACTAATAGTAATAATATAATTTTCAAAGTAGTAAGAGCTCCAACCAGGGAGTTGTCCAGATTCAGTTGCGTTTGGTCCAGACAAGAGTACATTTATGTACTCTTGGTCCAGACAAGAGTACAATCATTTATTCTTGGTCCAGACCATAGGCGCTAGCAAGAGTACATAACCCGGCGCTAGGCATACCGTATTAAAGACATGTAAAATAATTATAACGAGGAAGTAAACCTAACGTTTTTAACGAATGATATTTCTTCGTAATGATTGTTCTGTTGAGGCAGTATTATATAAATGCCTCATATGTGTTATGTGCGGATAAGGGGCCTTCCGTAAATGCCAATATTTAGTAAACCGTGAAATAATTATTGCGATGGTCTAATTTCTGCGAAATTCGCGAACGCGTGGAAATCGCGAAATTTAGACAGCGCGAAAAGGAGATCCATGAAAGGTTTAGCAAGAATGCCATTCTGCAATCGCAAAATTAAAACCTCGCAAACCTGTCCGGATTCTGAAAACGCGAACTAAAAACGCCGCGAAAATTTCACGCTTTACAGTACTTAGTCGTTTCTCTTCAAACCCCCTCCCTCCCTGAGAAACGAAAACATACAAAATTGTAATGCATGCCTAGCGCCTGCCGGATGCCCATCATGCATGGCATGGCCACCAGCAGCAGGCACCAGGTCACTCTCTTCCTGCAACTACTTTTTTTCTTGACTTCTTTTCTGATTCACCATGCATGGAGTAGTAAAATACCAGGCATTTTTACTACTCCATGATTTTCAATGACTATGACATGTCATTGTCAGTGTCGTTACGTCATAGTGACATCATTGCATGAAGGGGAGTTCCCTGAGCATTTCGCCAGCTCGAAAAGATCATAAAAGAAGTCAAACGGTGCTAGGTGTGCAATGCAGCAGATCTACGACACGAGTTGCTAGAAAAACAAAGCTAGAGAGCAGGAGAGGCGAAACAAGAAACGTTCTTGTTCTGCTGCAGGTTGGTAGTGGCGTGAAACGAGCTATCCCCGACTTGCGAAGGGGAGCTGAGCAGCCTGAATAGTCTCTCCGCGTGTGCCCATGAAGAACTAGTCGTCCGCGCTGTGCCAACGTTTTTATGCAAGATGGAAACCCTCCATCCGCCCTCAATACCCCAGTCTTTCTTGGTGATTTGGTAGGACAAAACGGTATGAAGCATCCAAAGGCACGGTGAGTCGTGAGCCTGTGTTACTGTTATGTCGCAGCGACGTTTAGTGGAGAGCTCTTCAGCGCGGACAGACGTGAACATCGCTAGAGCATTCCTTTCGTGCGTCCGCTACCAAGTCGACCGTTCGCTGTAGTAGCGCTAGCGGTGGCCAACGAGACAGCGATACGGCTACATTGTGAGTTGAAAATACCGTCGTCGGCGCTGGGCCTTGTCCTTGCAAGCGTTCGGGGCTGTTGGCGCTGGGCCTTGTCCTTGCAAGCGTTCGGGGCTGTTGGCGCTCTCTGTTATCACTGTGTTGATCTTCCTGAGTATTTTCCTGACTGGTTTTCGTGTTCTCGTACATTAATGGCGGGCAGGAAGCATTTACGTAACGTGCGCGTAAGGCGCCACTGCCGAGTGACGCCAGTAGTAGAGCGTGCAAGCGTCGCTCACGTCGACTATAGAGAAGCCGGCGAGCTGAGCCGTCCTCCGACTAGCGAGCGCTACGATCAGCAGCGACACAGCCCTTCTACCTCGCTGGAGTCAACCGCTCCTGTGAGTCTGGAGATGCCTGCTGCATCATCTACTTCGGGGCCGTCGCCTTCTCCGGAGGCTAGCGGAACTGAGCAGCGATGCAGTCATGGACCGCAGCGCACAGGGCGTCGGTCGGGCACCCCTAGTCACCGACAGCCGCCGTATGGATTGCGCTCTAGCTGCAGCGAGGGCCCTCAGAATGACGTGCCTCTTTGTAGTAAAGATATGACTCTGAAGGAGTCAGAAGCAGAGATGTGCGTACCTCAGGAAAAGGGTAGCAGCAGCAACACCAGCAGCAGCAGCATCGATAAGCACCGGAGAGAGGAACTATCACACAGCAACGCAACCTTGCCAGTCAGTGCAGCGAGTGAGGCAAGTGGAAGTCCGCAGGATCACCACCGCCATGCGGGAGACGGCGATTGTTGCAACGGCAGTGTTACCAGCTTCTTTACGAGTGCAGCCTCCAGCAACAACATCAGCGGCAGCACCCCCACCACCATCAGCACCACCACCATCAGCAGCAGCAGCACCACCACCACCCCCACCAGCAGCATCAGCGGTACAAGCGGCAGCAGCACCAGCAGCAACATTGTCGGTGCAGTCACAGAGAGCTGGGCTCGGGAGAGTGGGCACAAGAGCGATGACGTACAATCGGTGGCTCACCTTGACGAACGCAACCCGTTCCATCGGCACAGACTGCTCAACATGGCTCTCCAGAAGCGCGCCGCGCTTCGCGAGAGCACTCGCAAGAAGCGCAAGAGCGCGAGCCTGCTGCGCGCCGTGCTCCTGGAGCGTACGATTGCCTGCGAAATGCCGCCGGTATCGACCATCACGCGACTCCAACGCATACTGATGTTGATGACACGTAACCAGGACACCTGCCCAAATCCGGGATCAAATGCCGGCAGTGAGACCGACTTGGGCAGCAGCTGCCAGCAACAAAAACAACAACAGCAGCAGCAGGCGCAACGGCAAGTATCGGTGGCATTAGCTCAGCGTCCACCCACGCCGATACCCGCCGGTGTGCACACCGCAGTAAGCCCAGCGTCAATTATGCCAGCAGCGGCCGCAGTGACAGTGGCAGTAGCAAACGGCCACACAGGACCACAACAGTCGTTGTCGTCGTCATCGACCTTCACCCCTGACGCCGCTGCACTGAACGCCGCCACGATGGATATCAGTCCAGTGACAGCAGCAGCTCCGTCAACACCAGTCCCAGCGTTGTCACAGTCACATCTGTCGCCAGCGTCATCTTCCCCGTACACGATACCCACACCGCTACTGGACGATGGAGAGAATATTTCCGACGAGGAGATCGAGAGCATTCTCGGCTCTGCCGCCTCGTCAGCGGTATCAGCAGGCGGGAGCTACCCAGGCAGCTACCAGCGCGAAGCAGAGTTCTCCGAATGGGCGCAGTCTCTGGTGGCGCACGCGCCCGACGCCCCCTCCATCATATTCTCGCCGTCCCGCGTTGCCGCGACGACCTCGGCCATCGAGCAGTCCGTCCTGGACATGCTCTCGCAGCCGTACGGCCCCGTCACCATGGAGACGGTGAAGGCCTTGCAGGACGACTGTGTTGTTGCCGCTGTCACCGACGGGGATGGCCTTGCTCATGACACCGCCACCACCACTACCGCCGCTGTAGTAGCAGCTATTGTTTCTACGGACACCAGCGGGGAAGAGAAGAAAGGTATATGCGATACAAGCAACGTGTCCACGGGCGCCCCAAACGAGACGCAAGTCAGCAGTGCGGCGACGACAGCAGCAGCAGCAAGCACTATGCGGGTATCTGCGAACACTAAAACAGCAGTGGTGGTGCTGGTACCATCCAGCCAGCGACCGGCGGCGCTGTTCACACGCTCGCTGTCGTCGGGACGCGCTAGTAGTAGCCAATCGCCTGCCACATCACGGCCTTTGAAGCGGCGACGCTCCCTGGACGACTCGTTGCTCGCGGCAAACGGTACAGGCGACGCCAAGAAGCCATACCTTGGTTCTGCCGACACTGATTTTGATGACCAAGACGATGGCGGAGACGGGTATGTCGAAGTGGAGAGGGCGGTTGGACCTGCGCTAATCTCGCCGCGTGGATTCCACCGTTCCGTTTCCATGCCGACGGGCATGTGACACGCGTGTCGGTGTACAGCCAGCAGGGGGGTGCCGAAGCGTTTTGGAGCGGTATGCGCGAGTATGTGTTTGTTTGTGTGTGTGTGTGTGTGTGTGTGTGTTTGTGTTTGTGTGTGTGTGTGTGTGTATGTGTGTGTGTCTGTGTGTGTGTGTGTACGTATAGGCATGTGTTTCTGAAAATGCTAGGTTGTTTTGGCTTTGAGTATTGTGCAGAGCCTTGACCTTCAAGCATTGCTTGTTTAGCAGTTTGTCACGTGAGCTGTCTTTCTTCCTTCCTATGGCTGTTGTCTTGAATGATCATGAGTAGTGATTTTGACTACCACCAGGTTCCTGATGACGGGTCCTGGCCTGACCGCCGAGCACACTTGATTGATACTACTGGCACAAGTTTGCGGCAAGGAGACACTTTGCTGTGTGATGGCGTAGGGTTTGGCAACGCCACACTAGGTTCTGTATAATTCTGTACATTATCCCATCACTCAAAGGGTCCAATGCCGGAAAGATCTTCCCATTGTCAATGATAAAACGATTGTCGTGTACATATGCAGATCGGCCATGCTTGATTGAACCTGCCTTGTGTAGAACATAGAACTCAACTTAGTCGTTTACTGATATTACTAGTGCATCACTCCGGCTGTGCTGGTGTGATATTACTAGTGCACAATGTTGCCCCCCCCCCCCCCCCCCCCCTCTCTCGGTTCTCTCTTTCTCCATCTATCAGTATCCACTCAATCGATCTCTCTCTCTCTCTCTCTCTCTCTCTCTCTCTCTCTCTCTCTCTCTCTCTCTCTCTCTCTCCTCTCTCTCTCTCTCTCTCTCTCTCTCTCTCTCTCTCTCTCTTTCTATCTCCACTTATCTGTCCCGATTATAAATTATAGTAGTCCTTTACAAGAATAATAATTATGCTATTTTCCGAATTGATAGTGATTTCGAAGATCCTATCGGTACTATAACAATAGCGGTTTCTTGACAAGTTGATTTCGTCTGACTC